CTATTTCGAGGTCTACCATCCGACATGGGACTCGACTCAGGCGTCCACCGATGCTCAATGCTTCTAATATCTTGCTGCATATGGGCAATAATGAGACTGGTCTGTAATTAGTAGAGCTTTCTGCATCGCCTGATTTGAAAACTGGGCTGACTGTGGCATTCTTGAAAATATCTGGTACGTTGGGATACCGTCAGTGTTGAATGTGCGCTCCAAATGGCACGGCAGCGAGCAGAATGTCAAAGTAGGTGATGTCATGATTGTGCTTGAGGAGCACACGCCGCGAGCCCGCTGGCCACTCGGGAGAGTGCAAGCTACGTACCCCGGTGAAGATGGTGTAGTGCGCGTCGTGGACATCAAGATCAATGGCAAGATCTACCGTCGTTCAGTTGGCCGCCTTGTGCTGCTGGAGGTACCCGACGCTTCACCGGCAAACGCCATCCGCAGCGTCAACACCGGCATGACCATTGGTGACATCACCGAGTGATCAGTAATGTGTGTTCCGCTCATGCTTTGCTTTCATCTTCTCACATAAATCTGGGTGTGTAATAGATTCTCACTCATAGAATTTTCTGTTCGTTCTAGAGGGAGGTATGTTCGGTCCTCCACCTTCTTCCATCAAACGATTAGTAATATTATTGTGCCGCTGGAGGTACCCGACGCTTCACCCGCAAACGCAATCCGCAGCGTCAACACCGGCATGACCATTGGTGACATCACCGAGTGATCAGTACGTTGGGATACCGTCAGTGCTGAATGTGCGCTCCAAATGGCACTGCATGCTTTGCTTTCATCTTCTCACATAAATCTGGTTGTGTAATAGATTCTCACTCATAGAAGTTTTCTGTTCGTTCGAGAGGGAGGTATGTTCGGTCCTCCACCATCGATAGGTCGCGGCACTGAGTTATATCTTGTCTCATGTCACCATCTGCGCATACGTGTTTGGGGCACACGCGCGTGCTCGCGGCTTGCGCGAACTGAACCATGTGAACCATGAGCAGTACTTTCATCCATATTTGCATGCAACTACCCTTATTCATACATGTACTGATAGTGCAGTCAGTTCTTTTGTTAGTTTTCTGTTTCGCAAGTGGACCCAAGTTAGTTTTAGTTTGTTTTCCTCTGCTCGAATGATGTGTTTATTCTTGCAATAAGTCCTTCCGAATAATACCTTTCTCCTCGTCTGAGTCCTGTTCCATCGTGTCTGTGGTGAGAGTCAAGTGACTTTATTAGTGAGGGTTGTGACAGCCCGGACAGCACGAGATTACGAGTCCAGTGATCCGACAGTCAGTGTAATGAATATATCGGCGAAAATGCTGATAGAGAGAATGCTGGAATTCGGGGAGGCTGGTTATAGCGGTAAGAGAAGGCGGTAGGCAATTCCATAGCATTGCAGCTTTGTTGGAAAAGAGGGAAGAAAAACGCACACCATGATAATTGATGCTAAGAGAGCATGTCTGAGAATACCAAAGTATGTGTGCAAATGGATCTCTCCAATTTCGCTCAAAATTTGCAGATAGGTTCCCTTGGGGTGTGGATCGATTGTGCAAAGCCCTTGAAAAAGGTTCTGAAGGGAACCTTGAAATTTGCATACCCCTCAAAAATGGCCGAAATATCACATTATTTATGGGTCTAGAAACGAGTCACGTCACAGCGTACACGAACAAGCTATGAACAAAACTCCATCAAGCCAACATTGCCTCACCTTAGAAGAGTTCCTGGAGCTGTACCGCTTAGCCATGCGAGCATCCCAGAAGACGAGGTCCATCGCCCACTGACGCCACAAATGATCGTCTTGAAAATAGCCAATTTACAAGCGCTGGCAAAACAGCCAGCTACGTCCTCAATTGGCTAGAACTATAAACCGGCAGATAGTAGAACACCTCTTCTAGCGCTGAGGACATGTCCCCCCCCCTCTTTCTTTTGGGGTTTTCTTGAAATAAACGTTTTTTGAATTTTTCCACTCGACCAGGCTGAAATACGGCCAAAGTCATACCTGCGCAGGAAAGCTCGCCCCTCCGCGACGTCTCCTCAGCAATTTCTACTCCAACACTACTCCCAAGCCCGCAGAACAAAGTGTATTGTTGACTCTGACAAGGAAAAGCAGCGGTGACCACTTGCCACTCCAAAACGACAAGCTTCTCCTTGCGCCACCAATAATGTTTCGTGCGACTGTTGATGCAAAAGTGACTGAAGGCCTGAGCACAGTTTTTGAATTTTATTGTAAGATGCACGGTGAAATCACGTGCCTTGTGACGCAAGAATGCCAAGTCGCGTGGCCCACGGCTCACGAGATTTCAGAGTCACCTTTGTCAAGTCCGCTTGTTACTTGCCTTGAACGCCCGTTGGTATGGAAGTGATCACACATGTGTTGTTACTGCGCTCAAGAACACGCTGACCGTGTTTAGGCCTACGAACCGGGACTTTCGCTGACCTGTCGATGCGCCAGAGCGAAAAAAAGCCCTTTTTTATTATCCCGGTCAGCTCATTTTGTACAGAGGTGAAGATGACGATTCCGTGAAGAAGTAATGGCTGACATTGTCGAACATTAGTAGTATAGGGGGAGGGGGTTCTGGACCACCTTCCAGGTGGTCCAAAATCGACTTTCTCGATCGGCCCTTCGGGCCTCCCTCCAAAGTCTCCCCCTCCCCCTATACTACTAGGCGAACGTGTCAGATAATGACTCTTACCAGGAGATAGGTCTGCCATACAGTTCCCCCCTCTCTTACCCTATAGTTCTAACCCTTCAATACACTTCTTATTCTTTATGGTAAGAAATGTGTGTGTGAGATCCAAGTACTAATATTACAACTCCAAGTACTAATTTTACACCTCCAAGTACTAATTTTACAACTCCAACCACTGATCCCATGTTGGCTCAACCCAGTTCCAGAAAAGTGAGTCAACTTGCTGTCTCCGAGAAAATCGAAAGTGAGCCAACTTCAGCTTTTTCACTTACCCCCATCTTGGCTCACTTCGAGGACTGATGTGGGATCGGTTCCTGAGCCAACTTTGGGTGGTTCAGCTTTGGGTGATGATCCTAATTATTCTATATTAGAGGAACGGTTGTCATATTTATAAACAACGATTCTACACAAACTTTCCAAGATGACAAGCAAGAAGCCAACCCCGTTTACCACAGCTGATGTTCTCACTGACTCCATTGATTGTCGAATTACAATCAAGGATGGGAATAAATGTGGATCACTGACAATCAATGGTAAGGAACCATACATAAAATTCACTGATGAGACAAATATCATGAATGTTGTGAAGAAAGGACAAGAGGACTCTCTGAAATTTTCTTCTGACAGTGACATTTGTAAATCCATCCGTTGTATCGAGAAGAAGATCGAATCCGAAGGAAATACGGTTAGAAGCAGGATTAACACAGCTAAATGTGATCACCCAATCCTGTTTCTCCAAATTTCTCCTGATTGTGCTATCTTTGATGAGGACAACAAACCATCAAAAACCAACAAGATCAGGCAAGGTGACACCGTCAATGGTATCGTTCACCTGAAGTGGGTTTACAAAGACAAGACCGATGACACTCTCAGTCTCAAACTTGTTGTTGTTGCTATAAAGCATTTCCAGAAAGAAGAAGTGAAATTCTCAGCAAACGATTTGTAAAAAATAGTCAAACAATCCACAAGAACAAAAAGCAAAACATATTTTTTTAGAAGTGAAATCATGGATGCGTGGTTTGATGACGACTATTCCACAAACAAAGAAGAAGAAGTGATGGATACATGGATAGATGATGAACACTCTACCAGGAAAGATAAGATGATAGCGGACTACATTGACTATAGAAACCAGGTATGGTTTCCTACAGATATAGAATTGATGATTTTGGAAAATGAAGTAACTCCAGAGGATCTTGAGGTGTATGAGATGAAGAAAAATGATCTGTATGATGCCGCAATTTACTTCGAAGAAATAGAAAAATCCAAAACCAGAATAGGAATCGAAACAAGGTTGGAGATAACCCTGAACAAGGTTGGTTTACCAAAATATCTTAGCAAAACCCCATTCAACAATCTTGTTGATGAAATTCAGAGGATCAAGGAAGTAGCAAACAAAGAGAAAAAAGTCAAAGTGAGTTACCCATTCCTACTTTCGAAACTCATTGCTGATGAAGATGATGTGATCAAGATCAAACCATTCATTCCAAAGTGTAAAAAATCACAACAAAGACTTGATGTCATATGGAAGAACTATAGAGAATCGAATGTGTAAGAAAAGTTTTAAAAAAATATATCTTTTTGTTCTCATGATCACTGGACAAACTGCTTCATCATATCCGGAGCATAACTCATGAATGAAATGCTACTATCAAACCCCTCCTCAGCCAGATATCTTGGTATTTCATGGTGTCCGAACGCTAACGTACTACATCCATCTTCTGTGATATATCGTTTTGTGTCCAATGGTGATAAAGCTATCTTATTAACTGTTTCTCCGAAAATGACGTGTCTATGACTCCGGAGTGTTGTCATTTCTCGATGGAACACGGATTGATCCAAGAGACAATTTCGGAAATCATCATGTGTGATAGTTTTCTTGAGCACTGCTGTTTTCACCCCCTTTGCCCTTTTTCCACTTTCCTCACCAGAGTAACTGTACATCTTGGAGCGAAGTCCTACAAACTCAGTGATCAGTTTTCCACCGAGTTCATCTTTGAACAGGCCAACAACTTTCTTGTTTTTCTCGGAATATAACGGATGTGATTGATCATAATTGCTTGTATCATACTTATCAAGAAACTCACTCATGTCATCAAACAGATCATCAGTAAAGAAATGAAGAACCAAGCTGTCTGTATCGGTGTACAAGAGTTTCACATCAGAGCCATACAACTCTTTCAGGTGATTGTAGTAAAAGTCATACATGAGTGTCTTTGAGAGATCCAAAATCGACATCCCACACAACATATATGGGCTTGTTGAGGACGACCTTTGTCCTGTTGCTTTGTACCCCGACCAGGTCATCGTTGAAGATCACATGGCGGTTGTACGTTGGTTTGGCAACAAGCTGTTTGATTTGTTCATCAGTTTATAGAAATCCTTAGAGAAATCGTCCTTTGCCTTCTTCCGGAGGTCTGTATTCTTCTCGATGTAGTTTCTCATCCACGGTGTCTGAGTAAATTTCAGAGCACGATGAATTTTGGCACAACGTAGTCTGAGCTGAGTGTAGAGTTTCAAGTTTCGGTAATGGAGAACGTACTTTGTCTTGTCCCTCAAGTTTGGTACAAGTTTGAGAGCATCTACTCCTGAAAAATTGAGTTTATCAACAAGCTCCTGCTGGTATGGAGATAGCATGTCCTCATTAACGGAAAGACGTTCCGGAGCAACGGGATAATCGTTGTGCTCCTCATGAAGTTCGTGTGGATAATCCAGATCACACTCGACGATATACCCCGATGAGGAATCATCTTGAGTGTTCAGTATCTTGTTCAGGAGTTTCTCTGATGGTTTCTCCCACCGAAAATCAGACACTGGGAGATGCTATGACATTGCCCAACCATAGAGATTGTTGGCATCGAGATACTGGATAAAATAATGACGATGGCTGATCAGCATCAAATTTCTCCTGATAGTGACTATTAGCAGCAGCATATCGCTGTGAGACCATCGACACACCACCTCTCATTCCTGATTCTACTTCGAAGTACAAACAAGTGCTGATCATAGTCTGTTAGTAATTCCAAGGGCACACCTGAGTACATCAACAGAGCATCCCAGGCAAATCCAGGCAGAGTGTAGTAATTTGCTGGATCCAGCTGATACGTTCTGACAGCTTCTACTCTGAAATTCTCAAAGATGTCAGCCAAGAGATACATTTCGGTCTTGAGATACAAGTCGTGATAATCACCAAGAGTCTGACAGTCGAATTTCATCCACATTGTCTCAGCATGTTTGTAGTCATCATCACTCACCCCCTCATCAGACAGTGAAGAATAGAATTTACTCTGTGCTGGTAGCTGAGTCTCATGGAACCTGGAGAAGCTGTTCATGTACTCATAGGGGTATACCCCTTTCCTCATCAACAGCTGATGGTTTGACAAGGTCTTGGTGTGAGTGAATGACTCATCTGGTGTCGTTTTCACAAGTCTATCGAGTGACGCATTGAGAAACTGGCAGCTGTCGATGAACCGGAACTGTCTCCATGTGAATGAGATGAATTTCTCCATGTTGTTGGGAATGACTGATATCTCACCCACAGTTTTACTCTTACACACTCCATCCTTATCCGTGTATGTGACGGTCTCAACATCTGTCTTGCCGATTGCTCCGATGAGATGATGACTGTCATAGCCTTTCAGGTTGTGAAAAACCACAGGGATGTGCTCCTTGCATGGATAAATTCTGAGTTTGATGTTACAGTCATTGTGTGCGGCACCGCGGAAATCACCAGTGATGTGGTCGTGATCACGGACTCTGTCATCACCAAGTTTCTTTTTACAAATCCAACAGTCTTCTGTCTCTCTGAACAATTCTTCTTGTTCCTTAGTGAGATCCATCGGTGCTGGATTATTGAGTGCTGATTGGATTTTCTTCTCCTCAGCTTTGAGTTTATCAAAGAATACATCCATAGCATCAGCACCCCGGTAGAAACACTGACTTGTCATCACTCCGTCAGAACGCACCACGACATAACCAAAACCATAAGGAACATGTTGTGAATCTCGGCTGGTTTGTTGGCTTTTCACTCCATCAATTTTCTTGATCAGTGCCTCAGTGTCAGCATAGATTACATAGGGACATTGTAGCATTTTGTGATGATTAATGAACTTCAGTGTTGGTTGATTTCCATCGTCGTCCGGTTCTGGTAGTACCATGTGTGCTGATAATCCAGTGACATTATCACCATACTCCTGATGATTGCTCAGGGATTTCTCTGTGTTGTGTGGTTGGAGACATCTTGTACAGAAGAATTTCCTGGCTTTATGCTTTGACTGATCGTAGCACAATCTGCTGAAATCTTTGATCCAAAAGTAGTGATTCTGATCTTCTTTTTGGTATAGTAGAAGATTGATCACTTTCTCACTTCTTTTCTTTGTCAGCAGTAGTGGATAGATCACGTTATCTTCATACCCAAAGACATTGATAGCTAGGCTGTTTTGCTTCTCGACTTTGGAAATTTGACTCAGTGGTGTTGGAAAATCGATTCCGAACAGATCAAGTTTGTTGATATAGTCTGTATACTGAGTTACCCTGTCACTATGCTTCTTTGCTGGATACAGAGCTGAGAGCAGTGCCCACATCAGACATTTATCATCCTTATTCTTGACATTGATGATTGCCTTCTTTTTCTTGACCTCGTTCGGTAAATCAATGTAGGATTTACCTCTCATTGGCTGATATGCTGCTACATCAACGTAAAATCCGACGATATGATTGATGTGCCAGTTGGATCCATTCTGTATCCACTTATCGATATTTCTATGAATTTGTGTGTGTGCCGTTCGAATACCGTCATCAATCTCATGAGATGTTGTGACTGTCATTGGTCCACTCCTGAAGTATGGTGTGTCTGTGGTTGTTATGTCGTCTCCTTTCTCCATTTCTACTTGTAATGTCAGACTGACTTTCACACCTTTGAGATTTTCCAGTTCTTTCTGTATCAATGTTCTCAGTGGGATGTTGATACTATCAAAGAATATATACAGATCTGGATGATTCTCTTTCGACCCATAGATGAACGATTTCAGAATCCCTTTGGGTACTGACTTTGAGACTGTGAACGGTGGTGTGATAATCGGTTTCCTCTTTCGATTCTTCCGATTCTTCCGAATCTGTTGCTTGAGAAGTTCCCGATTCTTTCTTTGATCTAATTTTTTTGTGAATCCACCGGAGTTGTTTCTCAGTCTTGAGTTTCTTCCCATCATGGGTGATAGTGAGTTTGCTCAGGTCAAAGTCCATCTTTACACTACACAAGGATTTTTTCAATCAGTGATAGCATTACTGTATATCACAACCCTCTACAGTCCATTCAGAAAAAAATGAACTTCTAGCTTTTGGCCATAAATGGGTCAAACGTTGAGTTTTTTTAGAATTTTTTTCTGCAACCCCATATGGAATCCTCTTCCCATTATGTTTCTGAAGTTTTTTTGTCCAAAAAGCAAGCCATAGCAAGAATAGGATTTCGGCCAAGTTTTGCCCCAAAAGCACTGAATTGGGAAAAACCATCAAAATCCAGGCCGTTTGACCCCGCCTGCAACAGTGCATTCTGCGGTTCGAACCCCAGTTCAGTCACCCTTTTTGGACCCTTTTTCAAATTTCAAAGTTCGCGGCACTGCACTGTGTACGATGAAATCACGAAAAATCGCCAAATACGGGAGCTCGCCAGAGCTATTCCGTCTCCATGTTCAAGAACATATTGTCGGACATTGGCAGGTTATTCAACCAAGCGATATGGTGACTCCCCAACCTCGCCAGTTCGCCAGACTTTTCGGACCCATCTTTTTATGAATGGACTGTAATAGAGGTTCAAACGACCCACGTGCCCTTTGCTAGGTTACGACCAATCAGCAGCCTCGGAGAGCGGGCTTTGATATTCCATCAAAGCCCGCTGTCATTGACAACCTGTACGAGAAAACCATCAAAGCCCGCTGCCATTGGCAACTGTACGACAAAACCATCAAAGCCCTGATCATACCCAATCTCAGTCTTTTCAAGGTGATCTGGCTATAAGAACAAGAAACCGATAGGGGTGGTGGTCGGGGATGCGGTGGCTCTCAACTTGTGGAGTTGGAAATCTAGCTCCAGCATCGCAGAACTCTCAGCAGTATGCAGCGTGAGCAAGGCGTGTATGGTGGAAGTGAAAATACTTCCGTGACTCTTCAGCCACGTCTGGCTCTTGACACGTAGTCCTGAGAAATTTCTCACGAAACAGGTTTTTCGTCCACTGACATTACTTTCCCTTTGCTGTAATCTCTGTGTGAAACTTACGAAAGGGACGAAAACGACATGCACTTTAGACTTCAGGCTGCTCTGAAATCCCAAACGAAAGGCCGACATTGTCCACACTCCAGATCACCCAAAGAATGAAGCGAGTTTGATTCAAAATCAAAAAAAATGTTGGGGATCGTCTGAAGCATATTCAAGCGAGGTACAGTCTGGCTTGATGACTGATCAAAGCCCTCGGGCCCAGCCCTTGGGCCTACGGCCCTCGGGCTGGACCCTTGGGCTTTGATCAGCCATCAAGCCCTCTGTACCTCGCTTGATTATCTACATAGATCTGACCGTGGATTCGAGTCACAAGATCGCGGGTTCGAGTCTCGGTTTTGGTTTTTTCTTTTTTTCTCTTCTCTCTTTTTCTTTTCACAAGACACGCTCATCGGCATGTGTTCTCAGAAACAGGATTCAGACACGCTCATTGGCATGTGTTCTCAGTTTCTTCTTGTGAAACAGGATTCAGACATACGTATTGTGGCATGTGGTCTCAGTTTCGTGAAACAGGATTCAGACACGCTCATTGGCATGTGGTCTCAGTTTCTTGTTGTGAAACAGGATTCAGACACGCTCATTGGAAAGGCTTTCTGTCTAAAGCCTTTCCATACTGGTGCTCGATGTTTTCAGTTTGGGGACACCAAAATTAGTGTACCGCTAAAGACACGTGGTCGACACTTTGTTGGCACGTTGTTGACACTTTGTTGACACGTGACCCAATTACCGGCCTACCAAGTGCCTTTGGCGACCGCTAACAGCAACTGTGGAACAGTGCGGTGCCCTTTTTTGGAGCAACGTACGAGTAGTGCCCGTGGATTATGACCCCGCGACCCCAATCTACGTGGCGGTCCGCAATTAATTCGCTACTTCATACTGACTGGCGTCCCGCATCGTCCCGAATTTGTCCGCAATCTGCTCTCGGGACCGCTATAGGGCTCCCTGACCTGCTCCATCTCCGCCATCGATCGTCAATGTACTGCGCATCCACCCAGGCCAGGACTGCACTTACTTACGGGAAGGAGTATTTGCAAGATGGAATCTGGGAACTGGAAGACGACGAAGAAGAAGCGTGGGAATCCGGCGGCAATGGCTGGGATGTAAGTCCAACATTGCTGGTGCTAGAGTTGCCACTGCTTGCTTTAATATAAGGGAATCATGTGTGTTGCCTTTTGCCTTTTCCGACGTCCTCCTCCGACTGTACTCCCGATCCCAGGACTGAACTTACGGGAGGAGTGCTTCCAAGATGGAAGACCAAGAAGAAGAAGCCGCTGAATCCGGCGGCAATGGCTGGGGTGTAAGTCCAACATTGCTGGTGCTAGAGTTGTCACTGCTTGTTTATAAGGGATTCATGTGTGTTGCCCTTTTTGCCTTCTCCCATGTTCTCCTCCGACTGTACTGGTGAACGCTGTGACATATGTTGCCCTTTCCAGGCAGTAGAAGGGAGGGGTGGGGGGGGGGGGCAGTACATCCTGGCATCCAGGAATGCTAGGTGGAACTAGGCAATCTGACCTTTCCTCTTACTCCAATAATGGTATGGCTGGGGAGTTCTTGAACATCCTCAGTCTTGTTAGAGTGAACTGTGCAACTCGGCAATCGGTGATAGCAGAGGACCAATGCCGATGGCGATGCTCCTTCCTTTTTCTCTGTCACAGGCTGCGGTCTCGAGAAGAAGCGTTATTTCTGGATTCCAAGAAGGACGGCACAATGGTGAGTGGAACTTCGTGGGTGTGCAGCCTTGCTAGTTGACTTGTAAATCAACCATTCTTCCTGTCTCTGACTTCTTCAGTGTCCTCCTCAGTGTCGGACTGTCCGCGTCGCATTGAACTGGTCCGATGAGGCTGCTATTGCACACACAGTGAGGGAACTCCCATACGGGGACTCGGAAGTACTGCTACAGTACAGGTAAGGTGGTCATTGCTTATGTGGGTGCGCCGTTGTTGTCAACTTTTAAGCCAGATGTACTCCGACCTACATGGAGTCTGAAAGTAGTCAGCTGGCGAACTACAATTGAAGTTTAGACGTTATATGCCGCGGCTTGGTCAGCTCTTTCAGTTTCACAATGCATTGCACTCAGCACCGCTTCTCGGAATAAAAAAGAAAAGTATTGACATATCCGCGGCAAGCCGCTTATGTACAACGGCATGGGAGAGGATAACAAAAAATGAAAATATATTGTTGGGGAAATCCACGCTATTATCGAATATTCAACAATGACGGGTGTGGGGTTATACCAAATTCCCATAATGTGGAAGTACGTTATTATTGTTGAAAGCACTAGGTGATCTGCACTCTACAATGTGACCTGTGCGATTATATCGTTGAATGATTGCCTGTTCCGAGCCACCAAACGCAGTGTCTCCAGGTCCTTCAGACTCCGGAGACGCATGGACGTTGCCTTGGCTAATTCGTTGTCTATCACCACTGGTAGGGTGATGCGCGGGCGTCCGAGCCAGCCCCGATTCTGTCGCTGGAAATACGCTGTCATGCTCACCTGTGCTGGAGTTGCTTCAGGGAGGCGTAGAATATGACCAAACAGTTTCCACCATGCTATTCTGCTTAGTACGGATATTGGCTCGGCATTGCAGCGGGTATATAAGTCTGTGTTGGTGATAATTTCCGGGTAAGATATCCCTAATAGACGGCGGAGCTGCTTTCTGTGGAACGCATCCATTGCTGTAGCATCCCGGGATGAAAGCACCCACACGCCACAGTTGTAGGTCAAAATAGATAGCACAAATGCATCAAACAACCTCAGGCGGGTTGCTTCAGAGATAACTTGTCTCCGCATCCACAGGTTGACAAGTGTGATATCTTGTCAGGATAGCTGTGGAACGCATCCTCCCCAGTGGCGGAACGGCAAATGTGCTGTTCATTTTTAGGCTTGCTTTTATGGTACGTACAAATCCCCATTGAAAAGACATACAAGTAGTGGAGACCAGAAACTGCAAATAGATGTTGGGAACCGCGAAGACCACCCTTCCTCGTCAAGTTCCCTGAAGGTGTGGAGGGGGGGGGTGGGAGGGGGGAGCGGAGGAGGGACATTCCTGCACTGCTTAAAGTAGGATTCACAGGAGCATTTTCAGAAATTGCTTGTACATTTGTACCAGTTGTAACCGACAAACGCATTCTCATTGAGCTTTGACTTGAGGCACGTCAGCAAGGCACTGTTGCATTGCTGATGTCTTGTCGTGATTCTGTGAATGGTATTTTATGCGAGTTTGCATCGCACGCAGAATCGCAGGTCGTGTCGCATTGCGCAGCACACAGCCAAATTGCTTCTGTGAATCCCACGTGAATGGGAATTCCAATGGGAATGTAATCCATTGCCAACAGGTGTATTCCCGAGCTGCGCATCATACTGCAAAATTGCTCCTGTGCATGCGAGTTTGCATCGCACGCAGAATCGCAGGTCGTGTCGCATTGCGCAGCACACCGCCAAATTGCTTCTGTCAATCCCACGTGAATGGGAATTCCAGTGGGAATGTAATCCATTGCCAACAGGTGTATTCCCGAGCTGCGCATCATACTGCAAAATTGCTCCTGTGCATGCGAGTTTACATCGCACGCAGAATCGCAGGTCGTGTCGCATTGCGCAGCACACTGCCAAATTGCTTCTGTGAATCCCACATGAATGGGAATTCCAATGGGAATGTAATCCATTGCCAACAGGTGTATTCCCGAGCTGCGCATCATACTGCAAAATTGCTCCTGTGCATGCAAATGGATTTCATTGCTCTTCTGTAGTTTGGGAAATTCTCGATTATGATAATTCTGCGTGTGTGTACACCAGCCCTGAACATACATGTAGGTGACCCATTTGTGGTGTCTCATAGCCTACCTCACGACCTTATGCTTTCTTTCTGTATCACTTGTATCTTGCAGGTATATCACCACGTGACGACCACATCGAAGTCTGAAATTGAAGTGTGAAGAT